AGGGAATTGATAGTGTTGATACATTATCTTTTTTTCTCATTTAATAGTGAGAATAGTAGGACTAGGGGACACAAATATAAGTTTTGGCAAGGTAGGAGTCATCTTCAGCTAAGACGGTTTTAATTTTCTAACATGGTGGTTGGCCTTTGGAATGGGTTGCCTTCGGGTGTTGTGGATGCAGTAAATTTAAGTGAGTTTAAGAAAAAGCTTGATAACTATATGAATGATAAGGGCTGGCTTTGAAGGTTTTTAAATGTATTTATATAACGGTTTTAGTTTAGTTTAGAGGATGGAACAGTTGATATGGACCAATATACCCCTTGTTTTCCCCAAACATTGTTATTAACAACTCTGCTATCATTATATAGTTTGTGATTGCTATCATCTGACTTATCAAGCAGCCTGTAACAACTGCCAATTATGAACTTGCTACCATTATAACTGCAGATTATAACTCATTAGATTCAACATCTTGAATACCATTTTTTGTATTTTCATTCCCAAAAAGATGTAGCTAATTCATCATATAAGGAGCCACATCACCCCTCATTTAAAGTCTAATCATCATCAAATAACTTATGACCTAGAATTTCATTAGAATAATGGCAGTTAAGCCTATCTTTAAATCGGACATTGTTATACTTGACATTGTTTTAGCTATCCTATCAATTTGTTTATTTCTAGGGGAATTTGTGAATAAAACTTAATGTTGAAGAGACAAAATGCTAGGAAAATATACTTTTCCTGTATAAAATCTACATCTGCTTCCTTGTCCCATAAAACACGCATACAAAAATAGAGTATAACTGAGGATTTTGCTTTTATTTAACAATGAACAATGAAAAAAAAATGGGGATTCACACATTCAGAAAGCAAGATGAAGTGTACTGACACCCCAATTATTTCTATGATTTATATAAATTTAAATCTGTAATGTTTATCATAATATCTATATTAAATACATTATTTTGCAGTCATGGCACAAAAGTGCTGTACACAAATGTAGTTGTCTTGTAAAGTTATTAAAATGACAATACATAAATGTTTTAAAAATGTATGATTCATTCATAAGATGCAATACATTGAAATGTGTTCTTTGTTGCAATATTTCCAGTATGTTGCTAGCTGTTTGATCTTTTACAGTGTGAAATGGGTAAACCAGATGCAAGTATTGATAATCATATCTAAATTGTGTATAAATGGTGCTACAGATAACTAGTGTATTTGCATAAAATATCCATAAGTTTTTTAGAGAGGTGTGTCTAATTTTATTTTACATATATCAGTTATTGATGTATTATTACTGTTACACTACAACATGAACTGGTGTGTCTACTGGTTGCACATTGTGAAAATGGCTATTTTTCCACATCGATGCTTGCTTTGTGCTTAAAAAGAAAGCCCGACACAATTAGGTGTGCAACAATAAATCGAACTATCATTAGATTGTTATTATGAACGTCTCTAGCAATGCATCAATGTTAGATTTTAGAATTGATAACAATTGCTGATAGTACCTTCAATTGTCAATGTTTTTGATAGTTTGCTAACTTTATTACTTGCCCTGTTTT